GTTGTCGTATCCTCAAATCTTGTAACTCAATTTTAACCCACTTCACAATGTGGTATCGACTGCAAACTTCGTACACTTATGTCATACTGATGACAATACAATATTCTATCATTAAAAATAAAATAAAAAATATTTTTAAACATTATTTTTTTATGTTATGTTTCGGCTTGTTGTCTAATTGTCCACGCTCAGCTGTAAATCACCACGTCCCCTTACGTTATGGCAAGCTTTGCGGCCACATCCTGGAGTTCTGCCATTACTCGTATGTTACATTTCATTAAAGCGTTTTTTTAAAAATAAATATTACTTATTTTATTATAGTAGAGGTAGAGAACATCAAGGACCCCCACCCAAACTCCTGCCCTCCCCTCCCCATTGATCAATGGGGCCCTCTCCACTCTCTCGGCCGCGCATGCGCAGTTGGGCAAACAGACACAGCAACACACTCTGGGACAAGGATAAAGATCCCCCGTATAGCCTTAACAGACTGTAGGGGCAAGTGCTGTTAGCGAGCACCTATGAAGGCCAGCACGGCACACGAGGGGGTTGGGTGGCCAACACCACGCCCGGCCGCCTTTGTCTCCCTAGTGACGATGTTTACACATGGCACCAGGTACTCATTTGAAGCTGAGTCGACCTAGGGGAGGCCCAGGACCGGTTCAGATAATCGTCACTGATGTTGGCCGTGAGCGGGAATCGAACTCGGGTCGCCAGGTTCATCGCGCAGCGTGGCGCTGACCACTGCACCACCGCTCCCCACACTCGGGGACACACGCAGACACACACACGTGGAGACACGGACACACATTTACTCACAAACACGGAGACACGCAGTTGGACACATTGTCGTCAAGGAATTTGTAAGGGCCACTCGATTTCCCTTCTCTCGATAAGATCAGCATAAGCAAGGGATTGTGAAATCTGTCTCAAGCTACAATGCATTCCGACCCAGTCACCTGGTCTCACCGATTCTTTGGTTTGATGTGCCGTGCAAGTTGAGCAAGCTCGAAAGTACGTGGAATGAAAAAGTTTGAGAAGTACTACCACACAGCCTTGTTTAAACATTGAACTACGTTTTTATTTTAGCAGGTAAGACCCACTGAACTATATAGCTCGTTTTCAGAAGTGACCTGGCCACAAATGATAGCTCAACGAAGTGGCTTATCACGTGGAAATGTATAGAAGCCAAATACTTTAAACGCGTGTTTCTATATGTGGAGGGAAAAACCGGAGGACCCAGAGAAAAATCCAGGTGATCACGGGGAGAACATGCACACTCCAAATATACATGCGTCAGTCGGGATCGAATTCACGACCTGCATTCCAAGCGAGGGATTTAACATATCGCCACCGCGACGCGATGACGATGGTGATGACAGACATATTTCAACACATTCCTGTGGAGGGAGCTGGTCAGAACGTTGGGTTGCTCGGTCAATGGCCAGGGTCAACGGCGGCGTGGTGCATTCCGCAAATATGCCCGACTGTGAGGGCGGGCACAAGCCGGCGTGAGTAGCCCCACCCTCCCCACCCGGCCCCTCCTCACCCAGCCCCTCCCCACCCTCCCCTCCCCACCCAGCCCCACCCTCCCCACCCAGCCCCTCCCTGCACGACGGACGGACACAATCATCCCCTGTGGGCTGGTGTAACCAGGAGGTTCCTATCAGTATAAGGAATCCCTGTTCCTATCTGTCATTGCAGTTGTTTGAACATGCCTCTGATAAGTGTCTGGTGATGCCGTGTTGGCAGCGGTGCACGAACACAACATAAAAACGCACATTCGTCAATAACACTGTTGCCTGAAGAGAAATCAAATATATAACGGGCGACGTTTCGGGAAATGGCCCTTCTTCATCGCATAGCATGTGCTAGCATAGCATGTGTGCTATGAAGAAGGGCTATTGCCCGAAACGTCGTCTTATAAAGTATGTATATTTTTATTTTAAGGCAGTGTTAATTGAGGAATGTGTTGAAATTTTCTGGTTAAGTTTGGGTTGGTTAGGAGTGGTTGCTGGGGGGGGGGGTGGGGGTGCCCAGAACTTGTTCATAAATCACTCGCCATTGTCGTTAACCATGACCAGGAATCCAATGCAGGCCTGCCTGTTTAATAGGTCAGTGCGCTAACCACTGCACCACCGCTGCAGCCCACCATCATCTTTCGTTTAATGATATTGGTCTCGGGGTGTGAACAATATTGATTCAGGAGGTTCACAGTGAGTGGTCTGAACTTCATCAGCTAATAACGAGTGTTACTGTAGACAGCAGGATCTTATGCCCCTTCTCTGTAATAAATAAACAGAATAAACTATGTTAAGTGCCTTTTGCTCTCAAGAGGCATACGGATCTCAGGATTTGCTTAAGCACTTGAAGATGATGATGGAATATATCCGTGCTTATTAAGTGCACCTATTATGCCACTGTACTTTTTGCTGACAGCTACTGCGCTTTAGAAATGTATTTTTTTTCTACTCGTAATTATATTTTCTTGGACTAACCTAAAAGTTTAGCACAACAAGACTGCAGTTTGGTGTAAAAGTGCATACAAAATGTATTCACACGCCACGAAAACATTAACAATAGTCAGAGTGCAATTTCAAAAATTACTCTGGTAAAGAATGTGCACTAAGTTAAAATAATTTTCATCAGGGAACAAGAAAGACCTCAAAGTGGAAATTGGTAGAAAGTTTTCGAATGAAAAGCCGGTCAGACTGGGTAAAAAATGTGAACAGAAACTGACAAAAAAAGTGAAGCAGAATTCTCCCCTCGATTTTCAAGATACAGTAATAATCTCACGTCAACTATGTCACGCAATCCAACAGGAAATGTTTCAACTCTCACCAGTGAACATCCAAATGCTGCACGCTTAGTTATCCTTTTAGAAACAAAGTTGTCGCTGTTCATTCATGACTTCTGAACAAGGCAAAGAAGACCGAACGCTCACGAGTCACAGTGCAAAGTTAAATGGAATTGGAAAGTGGATGCAGATCTGTCCAGCTACAGCTTTCTCTCTAAAACAAAACGAATACCTAATTCTACATGGGACTTCCCTCATCGGTGACTTACCAAGCTTACGTACACACATTACTCTCAGGATTGCTCCAAGGGTCCACATGGAAATGTACAAGACCTGGCACATGCATTCTGGGAATGCCGAGCAATCAAGGCCTGTCTGGAAGAAATCCATTAATTTCTTAGCAAGGTATACTCTGAATAGATTACATTTCACATCACAAAATAACCTCCTGGGTTGAGACGACAACGCCACTTTTACCCTGATTCAAAAACACATCCTTGGTTACCATCCTGTGCTGGCTACTGGATGGTCTGCAATTGTTTCAAGTCAGAACGTGTCAGTGGCCACCTATGAAAACCAGATTTAATGTTGGTGCTAAAATCGAAGTTTATACTACTGCATTGTGCTGCATATAATAAATAGCTCTGCAATGTGTTTTCTGGTTGTACCAAGTTGTATTTCTCCCTTTTCCAATAATTAATTTTAAATGTGAAATTGTTTATTGAAATGTTATTTTCTTATATATCTACATGTGCATTCACAGGCATCCCGGGGTCTTTTGAAACAGCAGGCTAAGCGATCTGCCATTTACCACCAACACAGAATATATACATCAGACGATGGTGTCGATGTTCATCGCACGGCTGCCAAATAAGACTTTAGCGCTTGACTACATCCACACGTCGATTCTCAAATAATACTCAAATGTGCTTGCGACGCTGATTGGCCACCTAGCAAATATTTAGTTCAGCGACGGCCGCTTCCCAGACCGGTTCCAAATGGCACAGGTAACACACCTCTTGAAAAAAGTTGGCTTGAGCTATAGTAACCTCGCAAAATGATCGCCAAATCTCAAACCTGATTACGATTTCAAAGATCATAGAGCGGTTTTGTCTGAAACGGTTACTTCCCCGCGTCGCTACGATGGGCAGATTCAACCTATTGCTGTTGGCATACCCAGAAGTTCCACAATACTGAGACGGCTCTACTAAAGATCACTGATGACATCTATGAGATCATGGATGACTGGTGCACTGCAGTTTTGATCGGTCTTCATCTCTTAGCCGTCTTCAACACCATCGACCATGAGATACTCATCAGGCGGCTAAGGTCAAAGTTCGGTGTATTGGGTATGGTACTAAGGTAGATTGAGTCATACCTACATGGTCGATTACAGTTGGTCCAGCTGGGTGACGAACAGTCATCGCCTACGCTGTGCCTAGTTGGCGTGCCACAAGGGGCCGTACTCGGGCCCTTCCTATTTTGAACGTGCGTCTCGCATGACATCAAGTTCCGTAGTGAAGTCAAAGTAAGATGTGGAGAGCCTCGGTAACTTCCAAGATTGCACGTGAGCGGCGCTCGTGTGGTTTTCACGAAACTAAAATCGGAGGTTCTGCTGGTTAGCACTTGGGCTCAGGTACAAACTAATTATGGGAGGATTCGGTGTGGTGGCCACAGACTCCAGTATTCAGTTGAATACTCATCTAAAGGGCCTTGGCACCATACTCGACCAGAATATGTCGTTTGATCATCGTATGCAAACTATAGTCAGTTCCTGCAATTTTCATTAAAGTGCTCTATGACACATTCGGCCACTATTGAGTTGTGCCATAACCAACACGGTGGCGTGTAGCATCGTATCGACAAGGCTCGATAATTTCAACTCACTACTCTACGGGACGTCTAGCAAAAACATTAGCAAGCTGCAGCGTGTACAACATTCTTCGGCACGTGTCATGATGGGTACTGCAAGATCCAACCACGTCCATTCGTTGCTCGATGAGTTCTATTGGTTTTTGGATGCTGAACAAATAAATAAGGTTGCACTATTACACACAAAGTGCTTGCCACCAGTCTAAACATAAAGTAAGTAAAAAGCTGATGCTGCATTCATTGAAAATTGGTAAAAAAGGAAAATGTAAGCAAGTGGCTGTACCGATATAGTCAGGGGTAGAACCAACAAAACTTCACGCTTGAAACGCCTTACCAACGTGGCTGTAGGAAAGACAATGGAAGGAGCCGGCCACTTGTTGGTAATCAAGGAGCGGAAGTTGTAGCACTTTGTAATGACGCTGCAGGCGACATCACCAGCCTCTGGGTAGTCCACTTTCAGACCACCTCTGCAATGCATGGAACATGGGGCGTGAAGCAATGCTTTTAGCATTCGGTAATTTGAACACGGTCACGTGAAAGCCACGTGCAACACTTTGCCAGTGAACTTGTCTCTCGGCTCAAGTGAGCAATGGGGGAGGTGCTCCGGAGGTGCTTGGAGCCAGGAGTGCCAATGCCACTCTTTTATGACCTAGGCCAACCTTTCCAAAGGCTGACCACTGTTGACCTTCCACAAGGTAGTACACTCATTTTAAATCCCAGCAGGATAACGGGAGTCAACCCCTGACCAGAATTTTTACTTGGAAACACCTAATTTCCATTTCAGCACTGTAACTGCTGCATCAGCGTCGTCATATTTTTCAGGATAAGCCTAATCGCCAAATTATAATAAATGGTTAATCAAAATCTATTGATTGAAACATATGTGTTATAACAGACAATATATTTAAATGCAGCATATTTATTAATGTTTGATCATCGACAGCATATTTAAATGCTGCATATTTATAGATGCTTAATTATTGAACTTGGTTAATACCTGTTGACTTAATCTGTCCTCGATTATCAAAATATTCCTTAATAATAAAACATAGCATTTATAAGTTAATCTTAAATGTACATTGATTTATTTTCGAAAATTATTTAATACGTTGTCAACAATTAAGGACGTATCAAATAAGTTTATTACCATAATCATGTTTTGTTGAAAAACTAACAGATATAAAGAACCAAAGATAGCAACAAATATCATGCCATAATTCTTCACTTCCTTTTAAAAAAAGGTTTTCAATTATAGTACAGTGAAATATACTTTCATGAACATCTATATATAATTAAAACGTGACGTTTTAAAAAATTATTAATTAAAAATATTTCAATAAACGTGATTTAAAAAATATATATTAATTTCACATGTGTACATCCACAAGGACGAATACCTAGAGATGGAGCAACGAAATTAGCTTTTGTGCAGCTTCTGAGTGGATTGTTGCATGGTGGAATCTCAGGAGATGGGGCAGCAGTTTGGAGAGGCCTTCATCCAGTAGTGGATTGATAATGGCTGATTCAATTACACGTTTTACTTTCACTACTCAATCAAGAAATACGGTGGAACTCATCTCCATTGGCTGTTCGAAGTTTGTGATGAAAGTTTCAAATTCCTATAATTGGGGCCAGTATATCCATGTACAATAACATCTGACTTCCCACAAAATGGAACTTATTTTATTGACCCCCTAAAGGGATGTTGTGGCAAGTCAACCCCCAACTCGGATGCGATTCCAGAACCTTCCAATTGCAACTCCAGCACCACAACCGGTGGCACAAGATAAATGTAGCCAAGTGCAAACATGAAAAAAAGTTAATTCTAAAAATAAACAACTAAATTTACATTGCTACTTACTGGCACATGTGCATTTCATCCTGTGGAAATATGTCAATGCAGTCCGGATCGAATGTGTTGACATTGATTTGTTGCCCTGTGCAGCACAAGGCACTCATCAGCAGTACTGCGGCCGTCACCAACATGATTCCTGAAATTCAAGTTTTACAACAGCGAGTAAACAACAACCCTCATTTCATTTCATTTACTAGGTATAGCCCTGTGAGCCATGCGGCTCTACATGTGAACTAAACTATTTTTTACTTTACCAGGTAAGGGCCACTGAGCTACATTGCCCTTTTTCAGAAGCAACTTGGCCATCATAAATGATAGCTCAACGAAGTGGCTTATCACGTGGAAATGTATAGCAGCAAAATATTCTAGATTTGAAGTTTTCGTGACTGCAAGGATTCATACTCTTTGGTTTTTTCGGTAAAGTCACGTAGGTAAAATTTTATTTAAATAAATTAAATCACGACGTTTTGGAGACAACACAAGCTTCCGTCTATATCATGTGATACAGTAAAATAATTTTGCTATGACGGTTCCACCTGAAGACGGAAGCTTGTGTTGCCTCCGAAACGTCGTGACTTAATTTATATAACATTTTTACCTACGTGACTTTACCAAAAAAAACAAAGAGTAAGCAGCCAAATACTCTAAACGCATGATGCTTCTAAATGTGGAGGGGAAAACCGGAGTACCCGAAGAAAAATCCACGCGGCCACGTGGAGATAGACACGGAAACTCCAAATATACAACAGGCGCCAAGGTCGGGATCGAACCCACGACCTCCTCTGTACCAGGTGAGGTCATTAACATTTCGCCGCAGTGGTGCCTAATGCACATGAATCGGCTGGTCTATGGGTTGGGTTGTTCGAGGTAAGTGCAAAGGCTGCATCTTTCAGAGCCTATCAGCTGATGATGCGCAGAGGGAACGTCGAAATTGGAACATTGCACATCATTTGTGTTGACATGTCATATGCGCAAACCCTGAAGGTTCTTGTTAAATGTGGTCAATTGACTGTGCCCTAGATGTGGATATGTGTTTGAATGTTATTCCCTCGCGTGTATGGGGTTTTATCCAGACACGATTCACACAAGTAAATCGATTCAATAAGAAACAAATTCAACGTACCAAGCAAGAAAAGTTCTGAAAAAAAAGCGTTAAGGCTCAGCAAAACTTCCCTGTATTAAATTATACACGGTGACATTATTACACACTCATTAACTTTCGTGTCAAAACACATTAACATTAATTCACGGTAAGTTAACAGCGTTGTTCGAACAGCTGTTAGATAGTGTCCAACGTTAACCGCGGTTTAAGTCTTCGCTGTCATGTGTGGAATGGCCACAACTGCGTAGCACTCTTCCATAGTTATCTACAATTACAGGTAGTCCTCGAGTTACGATGCTCCGACTTACGATATTTCGATCTTACGATGGCGATAGCGATACGACAAAATTGCCATCAACAACCAAACATCGTTCAAGTATGCAGACGACGGACATAATCTTGGTGAGTACAGTACAATATGATACGTTACGATACATTCAATGCATGTTAAAAGTTGTTATTGCAGATAGGATTTTTTCCTGAAAAAACTTTCTATTAAATTGAAGTTCATATAGGTAGGCTAAGAATTTACCTTGTTTTTTTTACTTTACATTTTACTGTGCAATACAGTATTGTAATCAATAAATACATACAGTATATAATTTATACAGTACGTTACTGTAAATTGCTCTGTTTTGCTAAATTATCACCATTCTTTTAAGACTCCTGGGTAGGCTGGGCCATCTTCGACTTACGATATTTTCAACTTACGATGGGGGTCGTCGTAACGCATCTCCATCGTAAATCGAGGACTACCTGTACAGTGATCGTAGTTTATTGATTAGCGATGCACATTACGGGCATCCTGTTGCGGATAATATTAGGCGGAGAGTGCATTCACCAAAAAGCGTTACATATACATTTTGCCACCACCAATGAACACAGTATTAGCTCTTCTCTGCGACTCGAAGTACAACGCCTGTATCTTAACTTAATTTCCAGCTCCGGCAGAAGTTAAGCGACACGCGTGTCACGTTGTCCCTTCAGCACGCAGTTGGGAGGGCTTTGCACCTCTTTGAGCAAAGCGCGTGAGACATTCCCCGACTTACGAACATCGCTGGGAGGTTATCGACTTACGAACATTACTATGTCCTCTACTTACGAACATTATTTCAGGGACGCAGCTGTTTCAGGGCAAGTCAAGCGCAGGATCAGCAGCTGCGGCACGGGCACAGTCTAATCACAATGCAATTAATTAGTACTCTTAGGTTTTTTTCTGTAAAGTCACGTAGGTAAAAAAAAAATATTTTATAATTTTATTATGACAAAAAATTATAATAAAATATTTTATTCTTATTATTTACCTACGTGACTTTACCGAAAAAAACCTAAGAGTATGAATCCTTGCAGTCACGAAAGCTTCAAATCTAGAATCAATTAATTAGTCTTCGAAAACAATTCCATTTTTAGGACGCGCTTCGGTAAGCTAAAGCAAATCACCAATGCCCAAGCATTGTAAACGGTGGTCCAGATGTCTCGTGACCCCCACCACAACCCATTTAATTATCTAAAAAAGTATTTTTACGTAAGGCACATTTAAAACAGAAATGAATATGGAAATATATTTATTTAGGGGGTCAGTTAATTTTGGGGGGGGGGGGGGTCACAAGACATTTGGAGCACCATGTAGACATCCAGACACGCACAGCGGTACGTGCACAACTGTATATGCACAGCCCACACACACACACGTGTGGGCTGTGTGTGTGTGGGCTGTGTGTGTGGGCTGTGTGTGTGGGCTGTGTGTGTGTGTGGGCTGTGTGTATGCACCAGGCACTGACACCTACCGCAATTGTCACGCGAGACAAATCAGCACGCAACCGGCACAAGCAACGCCGCGTCTCACCTGCTCGCAGTCTCTCCTCTCTGTGTGCGTGCGGCAATGGGGGGGGGGGAGGAAAAGGAGGAGGCAACGTCAACTCCGCGTCCCCCGCCCCTTCGTCGCTCCCGACACCACCAAACAACCACCGACACCACCAAACAACCACCGACACCACCAAACACCCACCCACCGCACGTGGGCAGGGGTGGGCGTGTACGCGATGACGTCACGCGTCGATAATCAGACGCCGCGACTTGTGCGTCGTGACGTCACGGCGCTCACCCCCACCCCCCCCGTTGCTGCGCGCAAACAATCGGCCGGCGTTGCGCGCGGTGACGTCGTTGCGTTGCGCGGTGACGTCACTTCGTGCGTGGTTCGCCGGTTACCAACTAAGTTGCGCGTGCGGAGATCCTTTTTCAACCAGCGAACATTTCGCGGACCGCTCCCGCACGCTAACTTAGTCTAATTTAGACATCTCCTCGGCGAGGATGTTAATATCGCGTCGTTTAGTTCCCGCTGAACCCGCCGGACGAACAACCCGAAACAGAGTTGGCAACTCCTGCCGGCGTAGCTCGTTGCGTCATGACGTCACGCGCTCCTCGCGACGTCATGACGTCACGTTGCGTCATGACGTCACGCGCCGCTCGCGACAACAGCCGGGTCAGGCAGGGGCCGTTGTGGCCGCTTGTTGATAATTGCGAGGCTTGCCGATGACGACGACGACGACGATGTTGGTGACGGTGTTGTTGTTGTTGTGAGGCTGATGTTGCTGCTGTTGTTGCTGCGTGTGACCGACTCGCTAGTGATCGTCGCGATGGCGGCATGAGTCGTCGGTCGTGCAGAAGGCCTCGCGTCTCTCCAGCGAGGCCTCATGGATAGTCCGCTCAACATGGTGCGCTCCCCGTCCCCCTGCCTGCCCCCTCGTCCGCCGCGTGTTGTCGTAGCGATGGTTCGTGTTGTGTCTCCTCGTCGTTTTACCGCGATTACGTGTTCTTTAGGTGCGGGTTGCCTCGTTGAAAGTGTTCGCGGAGCCCTCGGGGTTTTAACAATATGCCGGCACAGTTCCTATGATCACTGTTTCATTGCTTTTCATGGCTTTATTTGGGTGATTTCGACAAGTTTTTTGGTTTGGCCATAGACTTGAAGCTTTCGTGACTGCAAGGAATCATATTCTTAGGTGTTTTCGGTAAAGTAACGTAGGTAAAACATCAAAATTAATAAAATAAAAAAAAATCCTCCGAAACGTCGTGATCTTTATTTTATTTTATTATTTTTTATTAATTTTGATGTTTTACCTACGTGACTTTACCGAAAACACCTAAGAATATGGTTTGGCCATGTTTGTTTGTTGTAGTACGGAGTTAGACTGATTGCCTTAATATAAGTTGTCTTGTGGTTGTTGTTGTTGTTTGACTGGCATCCCACTGGGATTTGCGCACAGCGTTGGTGTGCGGTGATTTTTGTGCAATATTTTGCTGTCTTTTCTTGGATTTTCTGTTTGCACTTGGTCACATATTCACTTTAAGATGTTTTCTTATTCATGTTTTTTTATTTGTTGCGGTTGCACCCGATTCAAGAGCCGAATGGCTCACAGAGCTATACCTAATCAATGAACTATAACAGCGAAACGTAACGGGGGCCAACGTGGGGGCCTTCACTCCTCCTCGGTGTGGCACAATTACGCCTTTGGTGATTGAATAAACGAACCCAAACTAATTATTTCGGTTGTTAGTCTCCGTGTCCACGGCTTTGGACATTTAACGACGAGTTCTAAGAATCCCAGATGAGTGTTGTACTCTTCTGCTGTCTCCTGCTAACTGCGTACACTCGCATAAGTAGTTTTTTTAGTTTTAATTCGGCGTTGCTAAGCAATCTGACGATGGTGCAGAGCAACAACAACAACTACGATTTCGCACTCTGGTGGTGAAGCCAGCCAGAAGCGGAGAGTCTTCGCTCTGATACTGACATTGCGTCGTTGTGTACGTGACGTTCTGCTGTGGATGACCACGGACGCACACTACGACTGGAGAGTTTTAAATTTTCAATGTGATCCTTACGACGGTACCCCGGGGTTCCAACTAATACAAAATTGCCGAGGCAATATGTTATTTCAGGGACACTTTTTTGTCCAGGGGTGTTACTTAACTACACGACTGGGGTACCAATCAATCCGACATCGGTGGTGCTACTCCCGAGATGTCGAAACGCAGCGAGGACGATTGCCCTGAAACCCTGAAGGCTCTCGCGTAAGCACCATGGTGATGGTACATCGTGTACAGCTCGTCTAGATGAGTCGATTGCTGCATTGCCGACCATCAACAGACTACAATTGACTGCATCACGGACATATTGCGAGAGCCGGGGGTACCGCCATAAGGTTCATTTGTGCATCAGGTGTCCGCATCTGACACTGTGCGGATGCGGTTTGGGGTGACACCGTGAGCTTCGCTGAAGATCAAACACAGGGATTTTCTGCATTTGGGTCTCTAACAACACCCATGTATACTCACTACATGATGGTGCATTGTGTCGTGAGTACACGTGGGTGATTGCTGCCTTTGACTACTTTCTGCGAAATACAGTAATCAAAGTAGAGGAACGCATGTTTATTGGTCCTTATAATGTACAATATTTCAATGAATAACTGTCAACATTAATGTTTGGCTTCCGCCTATAGGTTGACTGCCTAAAATGTTTATACCATTAGACAAAACACGTACAGTGTATACAGTGTGTATGCATTAGCATCACCTTCGGAGGAAACGGGTCCGCAGTTGACTTGTAAAGTATCAGGGTCAATGATGGGCACATGTATACAGCTGACATGTGGCACAAGGTGAGATTATTTTCTGGGCAGAGGCGAAGTTGGCTAGTAAGCAGGCTTTTGTACATTATTTGAGAGGTTTATTTTTCGTGCTTTCGATTCAGGTGCTGATCCAGGCTCAGAAATTAGCTAATCTCACAAAGGATGTGAAAACGTGCTTTAGACGTGATGCACAAGACGTTTAGCGAGTTCCTCTTTCACTTTGAGGGGCCATCCATTTAGTACGTAACGCATGGAGGGGGATTAACCCAAACGCGTACGCTTGCGTATGGGGGGTCTACTGACAATGTACGCAAAGAAAACGTGCGGGGGGGGGGGGTTGAAGCCTCGATAATAATTTGTCTACATTGGCCTTCAAATGAGTTAGATAGTCCAGCGGTGGACTGTTTGCTTAAACACGTTAATATTAATCCTTGATCGGTTCTGCGTGGATTTAATATCGGCCGTTCTATATGATTCGGGGGGGGGGGGGGGGTGCGTCAGACGTACGCACGCACGCACGCAGGGGGGTCACGTTTTGATAGATATTTGCGTACCTACTAAATGGATGGCCCCTTATTGTTCGTTAATGTATGCAAACGGGGGATGTTCGGCCTCATCTCGAGGAGTTGTTAATTTTGTACGTTGCTTTTGCAAATTGTCGCAGCGTCAAAATGTTATTTCAGACTGTTCAAGCTAAAATGTACCAAATTATATCTTAAAAGAAAGCGTTGAAGGAATGTTCATTTAATAGCAAATGGTCAAGTCGGGGAGACATGTAGTCGTAAATATATTTTTGATATATGGAAGCTGTTTATAGGCAGAGACGGTATATGGGCAAGTCCATTCTTCGATGAAAACTTCGATCAAGGTCGTGTTTTGGGCACTGGATTTCTCCAGAACAGAAAATATATTTATAAAGGAGAATACAACGTCTACAGACTAGAGTGAAAACAGAATTTGCATCAAAGATGCTCCGGTGCTGGCTAGAGGGCAGCAATGCGCTTAGGGAACAGCCAAAATTGTCCCGAACAAGTGGCCTAAGTAATGTCTAATACGTGCTCTGATATCCTCAGGACAATATAGTCTGTACATGCTGTGTTTTATACCCACCTTGTTAGACTAATGGGCTATTCATACGTTTCCATTTTGGATAGAATTTGGACAGGCGTTTAAGGCACAGCAGCAACACCTAAGCATGAATAGAATCAGAATTAATTATCCGTGAATATATTGAAATTATTAAAGTAACGACCAACAAACTGCAAAGTGGGAGTTGATCGATCTAATCAATATATTACAAAATATACAAATCATGTCCTTGTAGGCAGAAGTCGTAAATGTGAATGCATAATGACATGTAAATAACCTGTACTATGGATCTGATGTCCCTTTTGAAATGGCACTGTGATTGATTTGACTTATGTTGGCTCCGCAGGCCCATTTGCAAGCCAGGAAGGCAGAGAAGTTTCTGGCAGCTGGCAAGTATGAGGATGCTATTGCCTGTCATATCAAAGCTGCTGGTGAGGGCATGCTAGGTCATGCACGACACTGCAGTTCAGCACACATTTTAGCCCGTTGAATTGTAGGACTTTGTGAAACAGTTTGTTGCAAGCCACATATCTTTGTGTATCTTATCATATAGTTGCATTATCATAGAATACACGTGATAATTGCCATATAATAAAACAAAGAGAAGATGCAAGCCAAAGCACAACTATGCACGATTCAGTTATACAAAATAAAATCGATATACAGCAATGATGCTGTTGAAATGTGCATCTGGAAAAGGCTTGTTAAATTCTGGCTCCCAGACACAGTGTTCTGTGTTTCTATTCTAACTTATGACATCTGCATATACTCCCACTGTGCATGTTATCGCTTGGATGAGGTGGAGGGATTTCAGCATTGATGTCACTAAATGATGCTTCAGGTGGTGTGCCTCAAGGCCACAATGATGTAAATATTAAGTGTTATCATTAACACATCCTAAGATTCTTGTTGGATAACTTGGATCGTTGATGACATCCAGGCAGTTATGTATCATGTTTTTTTTTGTGTTTAATATATAAATGTAGATGTGAAATAAAGGTAAACTTTTTAAACAGTTACATTGGTGTCACAGCTGTTCGGTGTTTATTTAGGTGCATATTACATATTACGACATAGACTATGACAAAGGACATGCAACAGCATCTCAAAAGTACAGAATGTAGCACAAAGTGATACATGTTGGGAATTAGGCTGAAAGAGAAACATGTGCCAGACATGCAAATTTGAAACAATATGCTGACTTAAGGAAAGTGACTGTGGGCAGGACACATCCAAGAATGGATGATTGTTAGTACAAGGCTGGTGACAGAATCGCAGACAAAGAAGAGAAAACACCCAAGAGTTTGAAAGATCAGTTTATGCTAGAGTGAGGTGGATTGTAGCACTGCAGGACCATCGGAGATGGCATGAGCATGAAAAGGCTTTCATTTAGAAAGGAATAGATCATGGCTGATGGTGAAAATGTACAGTATTTTGTTTTATAAACTTAATCCAGGTTGGCAAGTCAGTTCATTTAGTTATCAGCTTTATATTTCGAGCCTTGTGCCACATTCTAATTTAATGTCAATAAAAGTGTAACAATATTTCCATAACAAGTAAAATTCAAGATTCAAGTTGCATTGTTATTCTTAAAGGTTTATCTGTTTTTTTAGGGTTTCTCGATGAGGCCATGAAGCTTACAGACTCTGAACAGGTACGTGAATGATTATATCACTGTGTCCATGATGCTATGAATGTGGTGTACTTTTAATATATTGCAATGCATCTCAATCATCGTTCATATTGGATCTAACAGTTGATGGTGCGTAGCATTTTCGATGATAAGATCACAATGTATTTCCATAATAAACACGGTGCAAAATAAACATGCTACATTTGCATGACATCGCCATGTAAAAGCACCTAGGCTGAAGTTACTCCCCTAACACCACCTTTAAAACTGCAAAATGTCGACCACAATATGTTAATGGTGCTGGCAATAAGTAACAAGCGCACCACCTGGCCAGTGCACACTCACAATTGAAACCTGGTCACTCCCCGCGCAGGCACTGCTGTCCATGCGCCTGCAACAGCAGGACCACTTGACCCAGCAGCGGCTGGTGCGCGAGCGGTGGCGCCGAGCCCAGCGGGAGCAGCGGCTCCGGGAAGAACTCCAGAGGAGGGACAGGGAGCGTGCGGCAGATGTCACGGCGGCCATGAGCGCCGCAGACGTGTGCGACAGCGCTGCCGCGCCACTTTCTACCAGAGGCGCCGTGAGGACAGCGAATGGTGAGCGTGCAGACAAAAATACTTTTTCTAACACGGACTTTGTTAATGATCGGGAAACTTGGAAGGTCGCAGTTGTATGTTATGGGAAAGTTTAATCGGGAAGGGGATGTTGCGGCATGATGGAACAGAGTGGGTTACTCAGATGAGCATTGGAGTGGCACCTCAAGGTAAACGGCCTAAAGCCATCTGGTGCGATACTCTACATTCAACCTTGGAGGTTGAGCACAGAGCACAAGCATGGAAGGAGTACCATCCAAAGGAAATATCTTGACGAGAACCCATCAGCAGTGATTTTACAGATTCATTATGTAAAGAAATGTATTTTAGATATAATTTCTGCATGGCTGGAGATGAGCTATGCATAAGAGGACATGTCAGCAACCTACTGGCTATGCAGGCAGACCTCGCTTAGCACGACCCTATAGAACACTCATTTGTTATCGAGCTCTTTGTCCTGGAGACATTTTATGTGAAAAAAATATAAGAAAGTAAAACATCTGCAAAGTGCTTACAAGTGAGAACACGCAAGCAGTTCTGGCTGAGGAAATGTATCTGCCCCCATCACACGAGCAGCCTATGAGAGCGACACATTCTCAGCCAACCTGACCCCACCACCCGCGATTCGATTATTCATGGTCACGATTACATTTACATTACGTTGATTTTTTTAGCCGGGTGAGAACTCACGAGACCAGGATATAGAGTGTCGGGTGCCACTTAAAAGACACCTCACCACAGAAATTTCGGCTGAGGGCATCACTTAGAGCATGAAGTTCCTGGAGCTCTTCTCTGAGTGACCCGGATTTGGAGCGTAGCAGCTCCAACCTTATCTCCCACCGCTGCATTGTAGGAGTACAGTAGAATGCACTTGTGAGTATAGTACATAATAATGAACTTATAATAAATTATTATTTTTATTTATTAAAATAACGTTTACCACCTATATTATTAGCACTATTACCGATACCCCAAATGAAGCCTTCATATGTTGCTCATAGGAAATAAAGAATGATGTCATGAATGCATCACCATATATACAATGGTGTAAAGAATCCTTTTAGTGCTGATTTGATTCGCACTCACTTCTTCAGGAACACATCTTGAGCGCTAAGCATCGTCTGCCTGTACTTTTGCAGGATCTCCGAGTAAGCCACCAACCCCATATTCAGTTGTGCAATATCATACTATATTACAAAAACAAGTTTTGTTGCCTGGTGCGTGGGCAGACAATTGCGTGGTGGTGATGTCACTGCGCACATAGGCGTGATGACGTTACCTGCAACCCACAGCGTTGAGCCGCATTTGTGCGTCTCGCTAACATGACGCCTCCCTTCCCCACCCACCCTCCACCCTGGCCATGTATCTTATGCAAATGCAGTGCTAGTAACCCAGAAGTTTAAGTGACAAGGTAACCACCTTATTCACAGTATTAAGAAAGGGGAAGCTCCGAGAGCTAAATAAAACAAAAGTAAAAAGCATAAGTAAGGTGGTGCTAGCTGTTGGAACAAATTAGTGGACATAAATACTCCATTTACACAAATAAAATACCTCAGTTGTGGAACAATGCCTCGATCATGCTGTTGGGAAAGGGAGATACAACTAATATTAAGAATTACAAACCTATTCACCTCTTGGCATACGTTTATCAAATGTTTATGAAGATCAGAAACCAAATAATGGTCAATGTAGTTTTCTGTCTTGGAAAGTTGGTTTCTCATTAATAATAATAAGTAATATTTAAAACTACTTTTTTTTTTAAACACGCTTTAATGAAATGTACCCTACGCGTAATGGCAGTACTCCACGACTCCAGGAAGTGGCCCCGAGGCTTGCCATAACTAACCTAAGGGGCCGTGGTGATTTACAGCCAACGTCAGTTGAGCGTGGACAATTAGACCCAAGCCGAAACATAACATAAAAATGAATGTTTAAAAATACTTTATTTTTTTAATAGAATATGGTATTGTCATCAGTATGACATAAGTATACCAAGTTTGCAGCCGATACCACATTGGGAAGTGGGTTAAAATTGAGTTACAAGATTTGAGGATACAACAACAACAGACAGAGTGAGTTAAATAAAAGCATGTAAAAAGGATTTTCTACCATTGACTACATCATCAGTCAGAATCTAGAAAAGAAAATCGATATAAAATACGATACCTACCTTTTGTAAACTCTTAATCGGGGTATTTGATTTCGTGGAAACTGAGGCAGTCATCCACGCTCCCACAAACTACGGCCTTAAAAAAGAACAATTATCAAAACCAATTATAAAGATGGTATATCTCTGCTGATATTGGAAAAATAAAGTATTACAATACAAATAAAAAGATAATTCGTAACAAGGAGATATACTCTCACACCAAGGTTATTCACATTGACCTCATAAGATATTTTATGAAAATTTAATTGGAGGAAAGGCATTAGGATACAGTTTGAAAGTATTAACCATCTCAACTTGCTGGTGACAAATTCGGGGATATGTATGTATGTTGAACTTCTTTCGCACCGTACGTAGCCAACCATGATAATGAGAGGTGAGCTACAGGAAACTAACGAATTAAAGCCAGCAGTGATGGAAACTAACGGCTCCATGCCAAACCTCTCTCCGCAGCACACATGAGCTGGGATCTGCGCCAGTGCGGCGCACGCCGGGACCCGCTGGAGCGCGAGCCCGACACGCTCTTGTACTACCTGCTCGGCGGCATGGAGCAATCGACGCTGCCCGGAACCAAGGTGCCCAAGGACGCGTGCACGGTGTTGGAGGAGCAGCGCACGCACACGGCAGACCTGCTGCGGATGCTCGGCCTCCTTCTTCGCGACAACGAACGCCTGCGGGCCGACAACGAGCGCCTTCGCGCCGAGAACGAAGCACTGCGCGCCGACGAGTGCCATCACATGGCGGCGGTGGCGGCGGCGGCAGCTGCCGATGCCGCGGCCTCACCGGGAGTTAGAGCAGGCTTGGGCTTGCCGGCGTGCGGGCTGGACTCGGACACGCACTTTGTGGACCCGCACGAGGTGTGGGGTCTGGCTGGGATGGGCGTCGCGCAGCATGGCCTGGGGCCGGCCTTCCCGCACGCCCTGACGCCGTTGGGAGAGCTGCCCCCGCTGGAGTTGCCTACGGTGGAAGGGTTTGATCTGAGGGAACTGGAGGACAACAGTGGGCGGAGCTGAGAGGTGGCAATGAATCTTGAGCCTGAATTATGTTATAGTAGTGGGGATGAATTATCACTCGACTTGATCAGGTTGCTCATGTGTTAATTAACACATGAGCAACCTATAATCAGGGACTGGTTCAACCTGTCATCACTCTTCGGTTGGTAAAACAAGTCCTGCTTTGTGAAAAGAACACATTGCATTTTCTTTGGATATTCTGACCCCTGCCTTGGAAATGTAGAATTTCCACCACTGGCTCAGGCCTGCAACAGAGATTAACACTGCCCTTTTGTTCTTTGAACATTGAGACACTTAGATGTAATATAAGCTAAGCTTAAAGAAAACACGTGTCCAAACACTATGTTATATATTACCAACTATTATTATGGGTATTTTTGGGGCCATATACTTGGTAAAGTTATCTGGGTCCAATTCAGCATTCTTAATTCAAAATATATTGAAATATTTCCTGTGGGATGTGCTGACCCTGAAATAATTCACCAGTTCTGACTTGTCGAAGTCGAGTCACCTTGATAAGAGTGCGCGGTACAGACTATGCACAGGTTTATTCGGCCAAACATTTGTATGACTGCTGGGGTATGAACTTGATATTAACTCATGAGTAAATACACATGTTTGTCCACTGAAAATAGCCCTCAATAACTCATAGGTTTGAAACCTTTGAGCGAGGTATTTAGCCAGGGTTTGTGGGAAAGTAATTTAATATTTGATTTTGTAAGGACCTACAAAATGCCACCTTGAGTTATGTATATTCAACAGTATGCCAATACACCTGTAAGCATGTGCATTTTTTGGGACTGAGAGTAAAGTACTCATACTTGGAAGTGTATAATTGATGAAACATGTTATGCAGACCATATTCAACCGTGTAAGCTAGAACCTTACACTTTGTGAGTGCAAAAAGTTATGTTATATTTTCTGTATGTAGGCTGTGCTGACAAGCAAGGGTGTTTCGATAAGTAAACATACTTTTAACAATTCTGCACCCTGTCAGTGCGATGTAGGTATAATTTGCATAGTTAATAGGGCATAACCCCCTGGTAGTCATGTGCAATATTTGTAGTGGCTAGATGGGTGTTTTTTCTGGGTGTTCCGGTTTCATCCCAAATGTAAACACTCGTAAAATTGGGCAATAACGTCTTCATATATGGAGGACAGCAGAGCTTGGGGAATTTGGCAACGGCTCACCCCTCTGGTGGCCTTTTCCAATGGTCTATGGTTCCTCGTGCCTCAGAGTCATTCTCACTCTTCCACAGTGAGCGAATACTGTGCATGTTACAAGTTGAAATTATTACTTGTTATGGCAGATGTATCGCATGATCAAATATGGTACATTGGATGACTAACCTTCAAGAGCAGCAATCATTTATTTAGTTTTTTGGCCTCTGGGGATGTAAATGCAAGTGAAATCTATTGCGTAATGAAGCTGCGATATGCTGACAACTGAGGCATGGCAACAATTACAAATTGGTGGAATGGCTGCATTCAAATTGGCCGTGACACTAAAATCTGGCTGATACGGCACAACATATGCAAGTGCTTTTTACTTTTTGGAATTTCCAATAACATTAATGGCACCCAATGGTCAAGCACTTTTCAGGAATTCAAATTGTCACGCATAATTATTAAGTGAACTCTTTTTACACATCCCACCAACCACTGATATGTGCATAATTCTTGTGTCATTGCAATTCAGAAGTTCTAAATGTGAGCAGCATTGCCTGGAGGTGACTCTTTAACTGGTGTACCACTTCTGCCGTTATTAGAAAAATGCTTACGTCCGAATTGCAGCTGTTCCACCATTGAATGGCGCTGCTATAGGTTACAGCATTATAATAAATACACATTTTGATACACCCTCGTTATCCTTAACTTCGTAGGTCAAGCTATAGCCACAGAGAGATAATGTGGATTATTGTTTGCTTTACAATGTTATTTTGTATGACCTTTAGCCAATTTATAAAATACAAGGCTAACATGCATTGTGATTATTTTTAAGTGACTTGAGTAACACATTACCAACTTTGGCATTGCACTCATGCTTTCTCTCTATCGCAGTACTACGTATCATGTGTACTGTTTGATGAACATTGAAATGTAATGAAAAAATGTTGCTGTTAATATTGTTAATGTTTTGTAAGATTTTTTTGTGCATCTGATGTTTAGAAGAAATTTGCTTTGTATTCCATAATAGGTGCATGTTGTGAGCTTGTATTTATTTTTTTTCAGGATAAATTGTTCTTAAAATTGTTCACATTTACATATATTAAAGTATGTCTGTGCTTTTAATTTGTTCTTCACACAGGTTGGTTCTGTATACCCAATTTAGAATGTTTCAAAATCAACTCGTGTCTTATTGTATAGACGAAATTTTTTTTATGCTTCATTACATTTCATACAATTCCTTTTTTCATGTTATTGTATTGTGCTTCCAATCGAAATATTGAACATGTAAGTGGTCTACGCAAAAGCTTGATACAGTAGTTTTGATTTATTGTTTTATATTTGTATTATTTTATTATTTCCCTTCTACGTGACTTTACCGAAAGAACCAAGAATACACACAGTAGTTGTTTACCAGTGTGTTTCTATGTCTAAAATAACGTGACATTGTACATGTTTGCTTGAGAGCGTGTGTTTTATTTCAGCACATGAGTACAAAGCCAACTGCTGTGGATCTGCGTGAACATTTTTTAGAGGCAATAATATAGGGGCGTGTGTTGTCACGCGGTCAGCTTGAACTCTGATTGAACCCAGCTTGTTCACCTGTGAAATATGACAGCACTCCCATCATGGAGCTAAGTGATTTCTTTTTTGTGTGTGCACACGTGTAGAACTTGGCACAATACCTCATGAAAATGTTTTGAAAAGAAGTTTAAACACATGCTCGTTCAATGTTGTATACATTGGTGAAGTTGCATGTTTCTGTGTGGTGTCTGGTGTGGAGCAAACGCAGTCGTGGAAATGTTTTGTTTTTGGAGATTGTTCATATACTCGCAACGCATTTTATGTTCGTTTTTTTCCGCTATTGCTGGCTTAAAGTATTTATTTGAAATGTCATTATTCCACTGAGAGAGATATTCTAACTTGACGGGTTTTTGGTGTGGTTCCAAATAAAGAATTGATCGCCCATAAGGTAGTAGAACAGTTTACTTAAGCTGAGCAAGCTATTAGCTCAACTAGAAAATTACATAATGGTATGGTATATGTTAAAACTCGTATGATAGACATACTAAAACGATTAGGTGGCTGCACTGTTAATACACCTACTATCTTTTGAAGCTAGTGAACACCCCAGACACCTAAATCTACAGTATAAGACCACTCGTTAGTCCTTCTTTACATGAAGGAAAACAGCTGGTGTAGCACAGCCAATTGGATTGAGCCATGAATTCGAGACCAGGTGTGATTATCTATTCTCAAAAGCGTTATAACTTACAACCTGCCTCAAATCAGTCGTTTTATTCCCCCAAGTGTTTAACATTTAACCTGTATATTCTTGGTTCTTTCAGTAAAGTCACGAAGAAGGGAAACAATAAAATATAAAATAATACAATTGTCACGACGTTTCGATTGCAACACAAGCAATCATCAGGTGTGAAAAACAGCAAGAAAATTTGAAAAAAGTGGCGTTTTTTTTATTAACGTTGAGAAAAAACCGCCACTTTTTTCAAAATTTCTTGCCGTGTTTTTTCACACCTGATGATGAATGCTTGTGTTTGCAGTCGAAACGTGAGAGTTTTATTGTTTTATATTTTTATAATTGTATTGTTTCCCTTCTACGTGACTTTACCGAAAGAACCAAGAATATGAATCCCTGCAGTCACGAAAGCTTTAAATCAAAATTAAACCTGTATGCTGTGTTTTCGTGTGGTCCCAGCATGAAGCTCCCAGCATATGGAGCGAAACTTCGGACGTCGTGCCAAACATGCGGTACAACCCGAAAACACATCAGACAGCAAAACAGCAGCACAACCGTAGTTTCATGATAAACCTCAACATATTCACAGGTTTCCGGAGTCCAAATAGTTTTTTAATGCGCAAGTAAGATTCAAAATGGTTTCCCACTCGAGCATGGGGAATGTGCGCATCTCCTGCTTAAAATATGTCAGTGGTGAAAATACCACATTCCTATGGTGAGGATGTGTTCAACCGTAGCACTTTATATCATCAAAAGCTCAGCAGCAGCCTGCACATAGACTTTTGAGTCGCAGGTTAGAGAAGTGGGGTCCAATATCAGCGAGTCTGATACATAGGCAGGAAAAGAACACGTTTAAATTGTATGAATTATAAGTGTACAGTAATTTCCTTTGCAAAAATAATTTTGCAGCATTACCATATCTGCAGAAAAAAATGAAACTCATTAAAATCGGTGATATAGAAAAAAATGTCCACTGGTCAATACGCAAGTGGTTATGTATATGCTTAAGCGGATTCATGGATTTAAGGTCCACATTTAACTATGACCTCTTGAGTCCCTGTTACATTGAGGTCGAAGGGTTCATGCGGAGGGAGTTTTATGGTCTCAAATCACTGATGATTCCACAAAAATACCAATCGTATGAATTTAATCATAGCACTTACTTTTATTTCACCCAGTTCCCATATTCAACAAATCCTATGGTGAAAGGGCACAACAAGTAGCTGTAAAGGTGGAGAAATGCCAGTTTAATAGCTTCTATAAATATTGTCAACGATGTGTTGATATTTTGCCTGTTGGGAGTAATGAATAAGCTAATTTCAAACTGATTTTATTTGCAATAATGTCACATTGTTCCAATTAAGTTAATGATTTAAATATAAAAACAAAGTTCTTGCACATTTACAATTATTAAAAATGACCACATTTGTCATGAACACCGCTGCTTGTAATGGATTAATGTACAGTAGACTCATTTTTGTAATAGTCATCAGAGCTAAGTATACATGACTGACAATTGGAAACTCCACTTATGGGGCAATGTAAACATTGCATCGTGCGGTTTCTAATTGCAAGTCGGTATTTCTGCCTGAAAGGATTATTGTTTGCCATGCTGTCCTACCATAACATTTAATTTTACAAGCATTAATGGCCTGTGTGTTTTTTTTTATTTGTGGTTCACCATTGTCAGCTTAGTCCTTTTTAAATTTTACTTTCACAAGTGAATATTCAACTGGCATACGATAGTGAAAGCAATGCAATGGCACGTGTGCAATACTACCTGAACAGAAGAATTTGGGGAGGAAAAACATTAAAGTTGTAATGCACTGATATGGAGTTTAGTGGATTAAATGTGCAAGTATACTATTGATGGCATAGGCACCTTGGTCATACTAAATAAAGAACTGGATTTAATACACATGAAGTATTGGAATTGACGGCAGGAACTTCTTGACGGGTAACACACTTTTATTAAATCTTTACGTGTCACAATACAACGTGTGGTCTCCCTTCTTCCGACTACACACTCCACTAATCTCGTGTAAACTCTATGCCTCTGGCTACACACAATACACTTGACTCGTGTAGACCCTATGCCTCTGGCTACACAATACACTTGACTCGTGTAGACCCTATGCCTCTGGCTACACAATACACTTGACTCGTGTAGACCCTATGCCTCTGTCTACACACAATGCATTCGGCTCGTGTAGACCCTGTGCCTATGGCTACACACACTACACTCGCCTCTGGGTTACACAGAGTCCCGGTCCCGTTAGGACAGCGGGACTAGGTACCGCAGGGCCCTATGTCTTTATCCCCGTCTTCATTCTTCGCTGGTTACATACTGCCCTTACGCCTGTGTGCATCCCCTTTTATAGCCCCTGCTCACGAGAGACGGAGCTGATGCGGACGTCGACGTGAGCATCGCTCCTTAGTGAACCAATCACGACACACTCTCTCTACGATCCGTTTTCCCCAGCGCGTGTTAACACTACTCCACCAATCACACCGCGCTGCCACCCGGTCACTCCCTCTCAGCGCGTCACTGGCCCACAGCCAATCAGTACCCCGTAACCCACAACCCCGCGCTGACCCCTGATCCTCCACCGTCAGCGCGTGTCACCACATACACAGCCAATCATTACGCGCTGGCCTACGATCCCTAATCCCAGCGCGTATCACCTCTACATCACCCCCTCCCACATAGCTTGCAGCCGGCCCGGCTGTTAACCAACAACACAACCTAACGTCAACGCAGTAATAAAGAAACTCCACCCCCCAGTGTGCCCCGTAACGCAACAACAACAACACAACAACAACACTTAAATAAGAAGCAATATACAGCCCGACGAACAACACAATAAAAGCGAACACCAGACAACGAACGCGCCAAGTGTCTCTGTGACTAAACGCAGTGACGAGGCGCTCCGGCTGCCTCGACTCCTCACGTGGTAGGTCATAAAAAGTAGCGCGACCTAGCGCGAGTCCGTCTGGCCGGTCCGTCGTATGGGACGGGACGCTGGCGACCGTCCGGTGGCTCCGGCAGCTCTAGACGGCGCAGATCGGGCCTGGAAAGACCGGCCCCGCCGCGAAGATCCGGCCGCCGGTGGTCGGCAGCTGTCAGTTCCGAGACACCTGGGAGCGGATCAGGCGGAGACATGTGAGGATCAGGCAAAGACATTTCCCCCTTAGGGTCGTCGGTCACGTCACATGCTCGGCCCTCACGACACAAGGGGAGGCCATACGGAGGCGAGAACGGTTTCAGTCGGGAAGGGTGGACGTACCAACGGCGTTTTCCCCATTTTATCTGAACGCACTGGGGGCGTGCAACCCGCACGACCTCCACGGGTCCCCGCCATGGCTTCAACAATTTAGGCGACGTAGCCAAAGGTGCCTGAGGGCAATGCAGCCAGGCCCTGTCACCTGGTTCCCAGTTGTGCACGGACACCTTCCGTGCATGCAACCGCTCGTTTGCAATTTGGCGAGCCCGCGAATTAAGCCGTGCGGCCTCCCTTGCCTCTGTCAGCTTATGAATATTAAATTTAATATGCTCTGCCAATTTTGAATTAGTTCGTGGTGCGGGCAGGCCCAGTTGCGTTTCCATGGGCGGGTCGGCTTCCCGACCGTACATCAGATAAAACGGGGAAAATCCCGTAGCTGCATGGGGGGCCATTCTATACGCGGCGAGGACCCCAGGGACCTGCAGGTCCCAATCAACATGTGCCTCACACACCTGCTGGCACAGCATAGAAGTCAATGTCCTGTGGAGCCTCTCCACCATCCCGTCCGTCTGCGGGTGGTACGGGGAGGTACGCACCTTCTTAGTACCCAACAGGTCGCACACCTCTTGCAGTAATTTACTCGAAAAATTTTTCCCTTGGTCGGTCAGCAAGCGTTCGGGAGCCCCCTTGTCCAGGACGTAGCCCTGGACAAAGGCGTCCGTCACAGCCGCCGACTGGTTGGCGAGTGGCCACGCCATAGGCCACCGGGTAAAATATTCGACCCCCACCAACAGGTACTTATTACCCCTAGGCGTGACTGGAAAAGGCCCCAGAATATCGAGTGCAACGAGCTCGTTAGTGCGCGAGACCTGAATAGATTGCAGCGGTGGATTAGCTGCCACGGGCGGTGGTTTCCGTCTGGCGCACTCAACACAACCCTTCAGAATATTCACCACGTCACTCCCCATTCCCGGCCAATAATAGTCACGCTGAAGCAGGGCAAGCGTTTTGTTAACTCCCAAATGCAAGAGGCGTTCGTGTGCGGCCAAGACAACCTTCCCCCTCACAGCAGAAGGCACCACAATCGCGTGCCGCCGGGACAAACTGTCCCATCTCATTAACAGGCCTTGCCTAAGTACGTAGGAGCCAGTTCGTTCATGGTCACCTTCGGAACCCCCCGTCCTGCGGCGCAATGCTAGCAGGGAGCTGTCCGCCATTTGGAGACGGCCCCACTCAATCAGCGACAGTGAGAGCAGCGAGTCCTGACCCCCTGGGGTAGCGGGAACATCCCCAATTGGTGTGCCCGCGGTCGCAACCAACGCCTCCATACCTTCCGTAACTGGCGGTTTACAGCGCGCCGATCCCGATAAGCACGCACATTTGTGACAAGGCAACAACCGCGACAGGGCATCGGCATTTGTGTGTCGCGCGCACAGCGAATCGACCCCTTCGAGGTCCTCCTTCATATTAACGTTTTGCGTGGGGCTCGG